CCCCCCCCGGACGTGAAAACTTTGTGGCCACGTAAATGTAAATACCGCGCGATGTTTTTTTGGTTTTTTTTTTTTTTTATAAAAATTTCCTTTTTATCTCGTCTGAACCACGCGCGCAATTATTACCTTATTATGCCGCCGTACATTTTTCGAACGCGCGTACGTTTCATCCCACTACCGTACCGTACGTAGTATTCATTTCATTTAGATTGCGAATCTAATCCATTCCGACGAGATCGCGTTTCAATTTGCTTACAATCCGCTTACGGTGGCATAACGGTGTGTGTCGAACCAATATTATTAACAAACGCTCTTCACGTTTGTCCTATGTATTTACGAATAGAAACTATTTTAAAAGTATATTGGTGTATTTTATAATATGAACTGTAAAAAGTAATAATCGTTTTGTTTGGCAGTAGTGGTTTGGTTCAATAACTATTATAACAATCAAAGTTGTACGTAAAATGTTTACTCTAGCAATTACTTGTAAATGTATTGATTTTATATCATTGAGACATGAAGTACTATCAATCAACGGTAACTTCAATCAAGTCAATTTATTTACAACTTAAACTTAATTCGTTTAATTTTAATGTGTTGTAAATAATAACATATTGTACTTGCCTTCAACGTCCTCATTGTAAATGTATTTGTAAATATTTGTGATTGCTGAATAAAAAATTATACGAAAAATATAAAATCGATTTATCTCAATTTATCAACGTGTTTTCAATACTGAAAACAACGAAATTCTATATATTAATCCATTATCATATGGTTAGACCATACATCCGCGACTCACAAATTGGCATTGAAACGAGACCTGCCACTACTAGTAGTTTCCGTTCACGGCCGCGAAACCTACGGGCAAAAAACACGGACAACGAACGGAGAATAGGCGAGAAAGAGAACGATACGGTGAGAAATTATCGGAATTCACGTTTCTCGGGTGTGTTCTCGGGTTTCCTCGGCATCAACGTGGATGCATTATGGGATTTACGTTTTGTCGATAATATTATATTGTTTTGACAATTTATAAGCAGAAAAAACGATAAACATTCGTCGCGTTGTGAGTACGAATTAAGACGAACGTCTACTAACCTTTGACTTAATCCATATTTACCGACGATCCGCCGGGAGGTGGCGAACAACCAACAGCGAGTATTCGTGCTTGTCCTCCGTTCTCGTACACAGCGATTATTCATGAACACTACTTGTCGTATACAAGAGTTGCGGGAACCCCGGTTTTAGAGCTTACGGCCGCGACAAATGTTGATGTAAATTTAATTTTATAATTTTAAATTTTATTTTTTCAATGGTTTATCAATCAACTATTCGGTACACGTAGCGCACGCGTTAGGCGATTTAATATGTAATTACAGAACAATCGAAATTCAATTATTATCCAGTAAAAATAGTTTTCATTACGCTACTATGCCATTTGTAACGCATTATTATCGTTTCATCGCGATCATTGTAGCGGTGACGCGGTAAACATCCGGCCACTGCCTAAGTATGATTCAGAGATTTCAGTCTTCGGAAAAGTTTGAATTGGACGAGAGAAGACTTACTGTCATACAGTACGGGGCAGAAAGACAATGTCAACAAACATTGTGTAACAGGCGAATATTATAGACCACACAAACAACATAAATAAATAAAAGTTTATTAGTTGTGGTGAATGTTCGGTTGCCTATTACACGTATTGGCTGCACCATACAATTACGTTAATTATTTAAACTTGTATTACTTTTTTTACTTGTATTCAACTTGTACAACAATAATACTTATCCCTTGCTTACATTCTGTTCTCTCTTGCCATTATGAACAATTACATTGCTTACATGTCTACCGTTATTTTAAAATTAAAATAATATTTTACTTTCAAAACCATTTGCTCAAATATGTTGATTTGTTATACACACCTACGTATGTAGATCGTAGATATTTTGATTTTTCTCATCGGGATTTATAGCAAAACTAGTCCCTACTTTTTATGCGCTATAAAACTATTGCACTTGAATATAAAACTTTTACGACTGCTGGTGGCTATGTGGCTTTGTGGTCAAATATGCATAAAATTGTTTGAAGCCTGATCATATATTTTTCAATTTTGTTAAAGTGGCTGTAAAAAGTGTTATATAATTATTTTATTCATTTTATTCATGTGTATAATACTTTATTCCAATAACCATTCAACTGCTTTCATCGAATTATTTTTAGTCTTGATTGTGATATCCTCATATAATTATTAATGATATTTCAAAATAATTACGCATTACATTACAGTTATGATTATGCTCTTGAAATCAAAAAAAAATTCAAATTAAATTAAATTTACCACCATATGAATACATAATGCGCTTAGGTATTTACTTTATTCACTCTGTGGCATCAATACTGACTTCGAATGATCGATGAGAAAAATATATTAATCTAAACAATCTCTAAATATTCTAAATCTTTAATACATATGTGGTTTTTGTTTGTTTTTTATATAGTATGAATTGCTTTTCTTGTAAAACTACCCACTTTATTTGAGTGATGGAGTTCATTTTTAGCTCTAGTTTGAAGGCTGTTATAGAAATAATAATTATATATTACTATAAAATAATAAAAATTCGTGGATCCTTAAATGGCACTTGTGTTAATACTCCTTTGTCTTAAACATTCTACAGAAATACTTACTACCAAATTTACATTAATTTTCTTTGATTTATATAATGATAACAACAAGAAATTCATTAAAATGTATTGCATTTTTTTGATAACCCTTCCGAGTTTAATCCTTAGTATAGTTAAATATATTTATATAATAACTTCTGTTATTAAGTAGTATGTTGTATTTTTCTTAGTAAGGGCAGTGCAAACGGGTCGATTATTTCAACTAAAACATACCATATAAAGGCCTTTATTATTAATACATATATATATATACCTATAAATATTAAACAAATGGTTTGCTCTTCTCATTATAAATAAAAAGTATTTATAAAATTTATAATTAAAAGAGCAAATTATTTGCTGAACTTAAAATGAAAATTAGATTAATTTCTGTGTGCTTTCAAATCTCATTCATATTTGTACGTCATGATTATCATTTAATTTTGAATTATTGTTTCATTAATAATTATTATGTGATTGTACAAACAACAATATAGATAAAATATCATTAATCAAATCATAATATAGAAAAATAATTTTGTCTCAAGTATAACAGAAATTAAAAATATTTTACGAATTATTTTTTATTTGATGCTAAAATATACTCGTATGATTAGCAAAAAAAAATATTTAACTATAAAATTTATGGATAACAATTTTAATTCTATTACATAAATTTATTTGAATTACAATAATAATAATAAGGAGTTTTTCTTGTTTAAAAACATTTTTTTAAATGATTAACATTTAACGCGCAATACTTCGATAGATGTAAAACTAAATGCAGATTTGAATCAGTTTTTTAAATTCCAATTAGTATTTTAAAAAAAGATTGGAAAAAAATTATAAGAAATAAGTAAACACATATTAATTTTTATAACTTGATAATACTTTTTTGTCTTTACATAAATTTTTTTAAATTTCATCGTAGATGGATTTAAATCTAAAATATTAAATACCACTACAAATAATTCTGTCAAAATGAGATTTTAAAAACGAATTACTTTCTATTTTTTTTCACATAAGTATAACTATTAATTATAAATGAAAGTAAAACAAAAAAAAAAAAAAAAATAAAGAAAAAGTTATGTTTAACCACGAAGCATATTACAGTGTAAACTTAATTAGTTTTATTAATAACAACTTAAGGAACTAATTAATTGGTTAAAACATATTACGCGTGCATGAATAATAATTGGAATTTTAAAGAAATTATTAAGAACAACAATTTAAAATGACTAGCCTATTTATATAAAAATATGCAAATAGAATCATATGTATAAATATAATCAAACATTATATCAAAACCAAATACATGTTTATGTTTTATAATAAGTCATTAATGAAATTTAACAACTCCCTAAATAATTAAGTTGTTTTACTTATGATGTATAGGATTAAACTATTTAATAATAAGTTATACAATATGAGATTTTTTTCAATACATAAATGGTCTATAAAATAAAACAATACTTAAACTGTACGACATATATAACAATTAAATTAAATAATAATAATAATAATAGTAATAAACAATTTCTAAAATATTCATGTATAATAGTAACTTCAGATTTGAATGATACGTTACAACTTGTTTGACTTTAAATATATATTATATTAATACCTAATACGATGTCTGTAAATAATTAAAAACTATAAAATATTTGTCTAATATATCGAATGCTTTAATTTAAATTAATTTATGTGGAAGGAAAAAAAGTGATTATGTATATGCAACAAAATATAATAAAAGTTTACAGTCGAGGAAGATACAATGATTAAAATTACAATCAAGATTTTGTAAAAAAAAAATTAATTTGAGCAAAGGAAATTTTACGTCAGCACACAAATGCAGACTTAAGCCATTCAGCAAGATTTAATTTAATGTTGCCATTGAGAAGCGGATCTTTCGATTCAAACAAATTGAAAGCAATGCTCAGATGAAGTATGGCAGATACAAAGTCACCAAATCTCAAGGTACCATCCTTTCGCATGTACCTCAAAATAAGGATAGACAACACTTCTGTGTTAATTTGAAAACCTACTTCCAGAAGTGCGTCTTTTAATCGTTCAGCTTTCAAAATACCAGTCTTGTCTTTTGAATGATTCTTAAATACGGTTTGCCAATATTTAAGACTACACATCAGATCCTTGAAATCGTTAAACTTCAATCGTCCACTGCCTGTACTCTGTGTACATAAAACAAACATTTTAAATTTACGCTTTTATAGTTTCTAATAGGAAACAAATTTAAAATATTTATTCATTAATTTCGTTTTATATATAAATTAATTTTGTTTTTGAAAATAAACAATAAATTGAATATTTATATAAATATCAATATTATATAAAAAAAAATATGGTACCCAGAAACCCAAGAACTTTAAATGTACATTATTTTGACAAGTTCGCATTAATCAGCAATTTGTATAAATTATTTCAAGGCGTAAATATTAAATATCACTGTGTAAAATAAACTTATATGATTAACTGTTATATACCTAATATGAACAAATAAATAACTATAATTGTGCCCGTATTATTTAATTATGAAGACATTTATGACCTTTTATTATGAGGACAGTGTTTTTTATGTAACTTATTTATACTTTGTTACATTATTTGTAATTTTTTTATTCATCTAACTGATCCCCACAATCATTTACAGTATTTATACTAAGACTACTAAGTCTATTTAAAACCAAAACTACTTCTCTCTACTATCGTCTAGCTAAATATTTATTTTAGTAAATGAAAGGCAAAGGTAAACATTGTGATATAAAAATACTATGAAAATAAATTAAACACTTACATCCAAGGTTATGACTACTTGCCGGCAGACTTCCATGCTAGCACAACTTTTTATATAATCTGTAATATCAAACTCAGCATTATTATTGTAATAATCACGGTTTAGGTAACTTTGATTTACCATTTGGCAGACAAGCGTCAAGGAGTTCTTGAAGTTCGAATGCATTTACTGTTCTGTGCTCGTCGGCCAACTGTAGGAACACTGATTCATACTGGACAAACGTTTTACCGTCCAAATTAACCGGTGCCTATTATATAAACAAATTAAAATGTTATTAACACTGGAGTATAACCATCGAAAACTTAATATACTAACCTTCATTATTGCTGATTTCAATAGTGAAGGAACAGTGTCAAGTAATCTAAAAAAAAAAATAAAAAAAAAATATGAGTCAATAATAATAATAATAATAATAATAATAACATTAATATCATAACAGTTCAATAACAATAATATAAAGTATAATACAATAACAAAATTGTTTTAAAAACTCACTTTAGTTTTAACGGTTTACTCGAATATACTCTAAGCGTAAATCCTGATTCTTGACCGGGTTCAAATGTAGTAGGAATGATCAAGTATCCACCTTGGTCTAAAAAACATCTGTAACTTACCTAAAGAAACGGATAAAATTACTTATCGATACTTGTAGGAATTCGCCAAGTGACAAACTTATGCCATTGAATAAAATATTCTATAATTTAATCAATGTTTATGGAGTAATATTATAATTATTTTAACATAATATTACTTGTCTGCTGTTGGTGTACTGCGAGTTAACCAACGATTTGTTTTTTTTGAAAAATTCTTTTCCCGTCGAGTCCATGCATGATTTTGGTAATGAGTATGACGTGAAACCGATCACTTTGGGCTCCATAATACTGTGTTGGTTTAACGAAATTACAACTTCTTCCATTTCACTTAGAATTAAATGCAGTTGAGGATTGATGTGGAACGTTTCTGTTGAATACAAAAAGAAAGGTTGAAATCTCGTAGAAGCGAATTCGATAGCATCAACGAACGAAAGCGAAAAGCGAAAATTACATTATTATTTCGACGCTTACCTGGATTATTCCGGCAACCTCCTGCCGTGACTCCTCTCTGCCAAGTGCCTTGGTGAAGACGCATTTGCCACGTCCTTTTGTGGTGCAAAGACGGTTCATCCCGACTGGTGTCGCTATCCAAATGTACCATTTCGACATGGGTAAATGTTTTCACGAATTCGTTATAGTTCATCCTGAATAAAATGCATTTATTAAGTATCTACTTCAAGTCATTAGGTATATTTCATCGGATTTGGATATTAAACCAATAATTATCAAAAGTTTGCAACGTGACTACGCGAGCGTGACGGCGTTTCGTCAGAATAAACCGTACCAAAATTCGCCTTCCATCAGATGGACGGCATTGACGCGTTCTTTCTCCTTGTGCGGAATATTGTCCCAATCTTCCGAGTCCCTGGACCACGGACCATTATATTCGGATCCCGTGCCGCCCGGCTGTCGTAGTTTGAACAATTGAATCGGCTCGTTTTTGTACGTCTCCAACTGCCGAGGATCACGATCGAAACAATAACAACAATTACATTATTGTTTCCGTCAAGAAAAAAAAAACATAGATACACCGCAATTAACATACCCGCTCCACCGCGCACAGCCTGTAATTGATTCCAATCTGAATGCCGTTCATAAGCATTTCTGGTACGCTTTTGTTGGCCTGCGAAACATGTTTGCGCATGATCAGTATCATAATTTATGCCTAACCACAAAACAGATTTCAGGGATTTCGAGGGTCCAAAGCGATTATGATATTTTTGTATGCGTCGTAAATCATAGGTTCACTGTGGATAGAATATCATGGGTAAACTAAAACATTCTATTGTTGGCCTTAACAAATTTTATTAGTCGAGTGCACGCACGCAATACGAATAAATAATACGAACGGTTTGTTTGATTATGTTAACATTCAATATCGTGCAAACGTTCAAAAATGAAAATGTAAACACCAGTTAAGTAACTACGTCTATAAACGAAGGTTATTCTTTTCAGCGTGTATTCTCAAATGCATTTCAAACTAATCGGAAATGTTCGTATATACATTGATCAAGGTAAGCACAATTAATGTAGGTATCCATTTTAGGTTCGCTAAGTGAACTCAATAGCAAGACTGGCTTTTTGAATATATAATGATAAAGGAGCCAATATTTTAATAATAATGGAATGCCTTAAAGTGTTAACGCGGACACGTGTATTATAATTAATTACAGCGGCTTACCCATACAAAATTGTATAAAATACTATCTTATGTTATCGTACTTTTCATTTTTCGTAACAAAATATAAAAGTACCGTTAAGGAATATATAACTGTATAAACAATAATTAATCGACAAAACGTTTTCATGATGTTTACTTAATCTATACTGTGTAAAAACCTTCCTACCAATAGTTTGCTTATGAAAACGTGTTGTTATAACATTCTGTTTAAAAGTGATTCGTTAACATTTTTCTTAAATCGTTGTTGGGGACTGAAATATCCTGAAAATTACATGACTGTATAGGTTCCTTATAAGGTAACGTCTGTAAGCCATTGTTGTTTAATATATGACCGCGGTTAGAGGCTTTGAACTCAGTAAGAGTTTCAGCACCACAATAGGAGAGTCCAATATTTCTTCCAATTATATATATATATATACGAGTATACCGAATATCAAAACACCAATCAAAATAAAACATTGACTAGACAAATAAATAAATAAATAAGTATTTTTATAACGTGTCAAAGACTCTGAAGTCCAATGAAATTATTAAAAATTCAAACATGTTCATAGACGGTTTGTAACATTATTATAACCGTTCTTAGCTTAAATGTTTATCAATCAGAACAGATAACTTAATTATGTTTTCGTTTGACTTTCCTAAAAATTTGTCAATGTTATAACTAAAGCACGCGTTCACTTTTAAGTTACAAGAATTTATCGTCAAGAAATGTTTACATTCAACACTTTTATACATGCCGTATGAATCATCACGTAATTATCCTCACTTCTTAAAAGTAGTTGGTTTCCCTAACACATTAATTCTGAAACTCTTCTATCACCATTGAAGTTTTAAAAAAATTAACATGAATAGTTGAATATTTGTCACTTTTTTAACTGTATTAATTTCAACAAAATAATCATATTTTTATTATTTTACAATAAATTTCGTGTAACAAATGTTTTTTTATAATTTTCAATTAAACGTTGATGGGGTATTTTATGATTTAGAATAATTTATCAATTAAACGGGTTACGCTTCGATATAAATTGAATTTCCATTCGTCTGCGATCTAGCTTTAATAGATGGTTTTTGAGATTATTTAAAAAATACGCTGAAAACCATCTCCATGAATTTATATTTGTGTACATTATTTTTTCACACCTTAATATTTTTACAGAAAAAAATGAAAAGGTAATTTTTATTTCCCTGTTGGTATTAAAATAAAAGTTGGAAATGGCGTTTTTTATGTTGTAAGTGAAATTTGAGTTAATTTCGTGAATATCGCAATTATAAATATATAATAGTATAATAACAATCATAACATCCGAAGGAACCTGTAATTAAACAAATGAAACTAGTTCACTGGTAATTAAATAAACACGGAGAAGAAAGAGAAACTACTGGAACCTATGATACCTACTAAATGTTAATTCGACTAAGAAGATCATTATCGAGGAGGAATGTCGACGCATCGTAAAGCACCTGTGCGTCATCAACAAGAGTAAACTTCATATTGTTTTAAATTAGCACAACTCTGGTAACTGGTATTTAAAACAAAACATAAAATCGAACAACGTGTAATGTATTCTCTGTTTGTATAAATAGTTTATTTTATTTCTTTTTTATTCTAAATTTTAACAGAACTGTGGTATATCTTATTATTATAATATAGTGGTTTTCTTTTCTTTTATATGTAAATATATATATATATTATGTATGCATTAAATTAACACACCAATAAAAATTAATATTTTATGTATGATAATTTTGGTGTTTAATAGTACGTGTGTGTGTCTATGTCTATATAATAGTATTATCTCTTAGAACTCAAGCAATATTGCCTATTATTACTATTGTTATTATAATAACATTTACTATCATCATCATCATCATCATCATCATCATCATATTATTATTATTATCACGCATTTGTAAAAAATAGCGTTTATTGTTACAATTTAAAAAGAATATTTTGTACTTTGAAAACTATAAAGGACTTTCAATGGACTGTCAATTAATTTTTTCTACGCTTGATAGTTATACCAAGCTAATTTTAAATTTATACGTAAATAATTAAAACTATAACAAGAAGTGAAAATATAGAATTTCAAATGTAGTTATGTGTAGAATAAAACGAAACACATTGGCTCGAATATGAATATCAAACTGAAAGCGTCTACTCTATATATTTTTACATTATACGAATGTATAATTATATATGTATAATGTATAATAATGTATAATATAAAGAAATATTGTTCGAAGACCTTGACATAAAAATGATTTATAATATGATTATGCTACATATAAGCTGTTATCATCTTAGATTCGCCCATCAGTAACATTCTTTCGTCTCTTGGAACGCAATTATGTCATGCTTTAATCTAGCAATTTATTCGCAAACTTGAAATAATAATTATATTATCTCTTGCAGTACACATTCGTGTTTTATTTATCAGTAGGGATTAATTCGAGTTGAAATTAATTTACAACCAAGTACCTGAGGTGACGCTGGTTGTACTGTACACGTGACAATAGACGTCATGTCTAACATTTTCGCAATCATTCTACCGCACGTGGTCTGGTCTTGTCGAATATTTATGCTTTCCGTAATTCCACCAGTCAAATCTGCGAGTCCGTCCAAAAGAGTGCCATACTTGAGTGCTTCGTACGAACCGTGTAACCTTTAAACAATAAGAAAAAAAACCAAAATATGTTTATTAAAGATTGCATTGTTCAGTGCGCGTATTTTGATATTAAATAACATAAATTGTATATAAAAATCAAAACATAAATCTATACCAATAATTATTTGACACTAATGAGAATATCTGTTACGCGCTAAATATTATTTTCCAGAGTTTTTATTTTCTATACTATATTTACAAATAATATTTTCGTGCGTAGGTAACGAATACATAATTATTAGAGAAAAAAGTACAAAAACCTATATATCGATATAAACCTATCAATAGTTCAAGACGAGTGAAATTCGATTTATCGACATGGATGGATTTTATAAATCACGCATAGAACAAAATTAAAAATCCAGTCGAATACTAGTTTTGGGTGCGATACAAGAATTGAACAGGCCACTGAGTCAGAAGTCTTTTAATTTGAAAGTAAACATGGCTATCATTATTACATTCATAAGAAGCGATTCGAAACGCTGAGCTAGTGTAACATATAAATTCCGGTTATTGATTTTATACAGTCTGTGTAGTTTTCGGTATAGTTGAAGGGTATCGAAATTGTCTGGAAACAACTAAAAATAATCCTTTTAAAATATTACTCGTGTTCAATTTCACTTTTCTCTGCAGCGGTAAACAGTGTGTATTCTAATAATTGTTTGACAATAATTTCTCTTCGAATGGAATTGGAAAATTACACCAGTTAAAAGAAAATTTACTTCTTACATTTTTAGTGATCCTTACATAAAATTTTTATATTTTTGTAATTCACAATCAATCATAGACCATAGAAAAAATGTTCAAACGATTTCTAAACAAATCCTATTGTAAACGATGAAATGCCCGTTTTTAAATATATTTCCTAAAATATAAATTGTATTTAAATATTCTAAAAAAATGTATTTATTCTTTTCTTTATTTTTTACCTTATAATATCTTATAATTGTTTTTGTTCGCGTAATCGAGAATTATACTAACGAATATTTTCATATGGTATTTTAAACCGTTGCAAATATGTACACTTTAACTGCAGGACATGCATTCGTTTGATAAATGAATAAATAAATATTCATCGAATGATGATGATTAACTATTATATCGCGACGATTATGTTCCAAGCATACGTTGAACTTCAACCTAAACTACTGACAGTGGTCTGCGCGTACTTTCACAACACTGCAAACGGGTCAATATCAAATAACGCCGAAAGCAAGTTGCTTGCCTAAAATATAAGACGATAAAGTACTCGCGTGATGTTGACGGTCAACGGTTAACGGCGACGCATATTCAAGTTCATTGGCAAAACGCGAATCGTTGTCGTTCGTTTTCCAATTTGAATGTATACGATTCGAAAGTGATCGGTTAAAGATATGCAGAACACGATCGTTTGTAGAAGCTAAGGCATAATATTGGCGTGCCCATTCGTGTTAAACCGTACACACGCTGTGCGCGCCTGAAAACGTTTGTATCGCTTTCCCGTCCCGGACGGTACCTATATTATATTAAAATACCGCTTTGTGATGACCGGTAATAATAATTATTGTAAAGCGTAAGTAGAAAACGTAAAACAACGCAACGCGAGTGCGGTAATTACACTTCAACTTCAACGAAGTGAACATAAGTGAACTTTATTACAAGTTAAGCAAAATTGATTGTGTAAAAAAAAAAATTCTAACCGTTATTCATGTGCATAATGGTGAAAAATATTTAAATAATCGTTCCCGTCTGTATTTATGATTGGCAATAAGAAGCTGTTAGCTAAAGAAACACGATAGAAACGATCGTACGTTATATATATCACATTGAATAATTATTGATTATGACATGTTATGTATCGAGCGGTATGCTGTTTTATGAAAACGGGTGGGTTTTAAACGAGATACTAATTATTTTTAATATCATGTCACACGGTAATTTAACGAAAATTTAATGGTCGGTCGATACATTTCATTATTCATACACGGGACGGGGTAAATATTTACGTACACATACCAATAAATAATACTGCACACGAGGAAAAAATGAAAATGAAAACGATATTGAACTCGTGTGTAATAATATATGTTATATATTATTATGGACAACGTTTGATAATTTCTCAGACTTTCTAAACAATTCCGCATCGAGAAACACTGTTAGCCATATCGCTTAAAACGCCATTATTGCACCGTAATGCTAGAACGGTTTTACTACCCGTCGGAATCATCTATTCGTTTAACTATATATTATTTGCATTACTTTACGTACGTTACCCATATTATCGACCCACGTTTATTTTATTTCCTAAAACGATACTTCAAACGCAGCAGCATTTAATTGCAGTTACGGGGTAAGATGTAGGTATAGTATACAATAACAACCCACATCGTTTAAGCCACTTCGACTACACATTATTATTTTTGAAAAATGCGTTTAAATTAAACAAATACACCATAATTATAAATCATTGACGTGAATTTTATATATATATATATATATATATATTGGATATTGGACGTAGGTGGAAACTAAAATAATTCGATACACCTCCGGTAGCTGTAAGCTGTGCAGTGCGCATGAATATTGTACGTAAATAACACGTAGTGTACACGCGTGTAACCGCAGAGTGCGCGTATAATCTACTTTTCACGGAGTAATTTATAGTGGTTTATTTAATTCCCGGAGGTCTTAATTCGTCGCGATCACCGCGCGGAATAGGATAATTACTGTACACAAGTATACAGCCGTGAGTAGATTTCTGCTCCAAAATGCCTTCCGGTTTTTTTTATAGTTTTTCGAAAATTCGTTGTATATTATGCTGTGCTAGTCGAACACTGTCGTCGCCGCCCGTCACGCGGTCGTCGGATCGTCTCGCACGGTTATGGACCGCGAAAGCCTCTACGAACAACAACCGGCCTTGGGAAATATAACTCGGATCGCACAAAACTTTTGGGTACGATGACCTCAGAAAAACAGCAACGAAAATTCTATAGTTTTAAAATCGATTATACGTGTACAATATACATACACGTGCATATATAGGTATACTGTAATCGGAATTTACTTAAGACTGCGTGAGACGACCGTTATTATTATTGCTATGACGGTGCAGCAATGTACGCGTCCCGATTCAGACGCTCTAGGCGCATACCGTAACACGAATTATTATCCGCGCTAATGAAAATCTCATTCTTCAAACGCGCTTCCAGATCACCGTCGTAATTTTAAGGCAATATTTTTATGTTTTTCTTCTACGCACACTCAATTATCGTTTAAATATTCTCCGTGACCCGCGAGTAATGTCGTCCGCGTTTTTGTCTGGTTTTCTATAATTTTCACTAATGACAGCGCGCATACGTGAACCACAGAATAGAACGTCCAGAAAATATAACGTTACCTCCATCCGAAATTAGAACCTTATGCAGTAATATATGATTTTTAATATAATTTTAATACATTTAAGATAACAAAAAAAAAAAAAAAAAAATGTTTCATTTTTAATTTACTCTCAAATCGAGAGTATTTTTTTTTTTTTACGTTTTAATTAAATACGATTACGATTTATGGGTAGGTACGGAAAAATTTTAAGGGTTTTATTGACTTCACGGAGCTCCCTTTCACGTATACGTAACCGACGAACACCACATATGTTGTTATTATCATTCGATCCATTGGGACACTGGATTTTAACACGAGCCTGAGGAAACATTCAAGACTGTCTAGCTTTGCACTAGCGTCGGTGACCGACCGCGGATTCGGAACTACAGATTTCGAAATTATCAACGTTTGTTGTTGATGTTTACTTCATCGTTTTAAGATAACAGTGACGACGTATGTACGATGTTATCAACAACAATAGCGTATTTCGCTACATTTGAAGCACGCCATTATTGCTGGCACGTTATTCATATATGACACTCGACGGTTTTCACCGACCTCTCGGTTCAACCGCTCGCTTGGTCCAGTGTCGGGGCTGCATATCGACCAACAGGTTTTATAAAATGACCGCAGGAGTTCTCGTGAACTCATATCAATCAGTGTGTCGAGAACCGCCAGATATTCGACGAAGGGGGACGAATGTGCGTGGTTTAATTTCAAGAAGACTAGTTTGATATGGTTATTTTTTTTTTTTTTTTGAGACAGCAAGACATCTTGAGCGGAACGTGTATCATTATAACATTCGTATCGAAACCTTTGATATCCTATAACGCACGAAGGTTGTTCATTGTTATTAAATCCTTTTTGTGAAAACGTAATCATGTATCCGAGGGCGAAAAATCTTCCGAAGAACATTCAACTAGAGAAGTAGAAGTATGTTATGTTATCCAAAATAATGATAAAAACAAACACATATTTATGCGTAACGACGATAACTGCTTTCACAAACACCTATTCGTCTGGTTAGCATGTGATTTTTAAAAAATAAAAATTTCTCTCGTACTAATAATTCTCTGACGAAAACGCGCCAAAACGCGCCAGCCACTGTTTTTCATTGCAAATACCTGAGACGATGGATACATTTCCGGCCTTAAGTCGATATTTCCAGCGTTATTATAATACTATTTGACCGTTAAAAAAATTATATAACCGTTCGCGATCGTCTTTATAGAAACGCTCTTATACACCATAGAAATGATAAACTATCTGATGCGTAGGAAGTTCAACGAGGCTGAAAAAAATATTGTACATGCATGTGCTTGTGTGTTGTAAGTAAAATTTCCTATTGTTAGCGAGTTGAAGATTGTCGATAATGAATCAATCATTACCTGAACCCATATCACATGATATTATAAAGATTTAATATACACAAGATAAGTTTGTTATTGATCGTTTTGGAAGATGAATTATTCGAGTATAATAATATTACTAAATACATAAAAGTAAAAAATATTAAAAAAAAAATTGAATTAATTATAAACTTTTGTTTATATTAATGGTTTCTACTTAAATATGTTGTATTTTTCATTTTTTTCTTTATTTAATATTTTAATGAACAACATTATACTATGCTCAGAACACCCGCTTTCTTTTATTCATCGTATTAAAAAATATGATCATATGAAATGTGCCTTAGATGGCCTAGATAAACTGCAGTGCGTTGTTTTAAATATTTATCCACAATTTGTCGATTTTTTTTAACTGTTTAAATAAAATTAATATAATACATAATCATGACTCCAATTATTTTTCTACCACATTAATTGTGACACCAATGAACAAATAATATGATTTTGAAATTTCTAGTAATAATTTCAAAAGTATTATTTATAATTTGTACATACAGTAGTTAATTACATTTTTCTTGCTATAAATATATGAATAGTTCATTATTTCTCAATTGCATTTAGAGGTCACGTAGATATGAAATCTCTATAAGAAATATCTATATGATTATATATAGTTGGCACAATTCTTACAGTTCTATCATTAGAGTTTATTATAAAATATACCGAAGTATTGCAGGATCGCATAAAATTTTGATTTATTTGTTCGGACTCAGTATTTAAGGTACATTTTGTTTAAGTACCCGGTCTACATTTATACAGTATTAAAAATGTTCGCAAGACATGGGAAGATAAATAATTCAATAACATAGCACGGTGCATAATACCTATTATGAGTTCAAAAACACTAAAATTATAGGCAATTTATTAATCGTTTCCCATTAGGATTTGAGTACACAGTTGACCAACGACACGGGATCACACGGAAAGTTTTTTTTTATTACCTTACGTTTAAAAATATATTTATTTTTATAATAAAACGATTATTTTTTTAATTGCACATGCTTACTTGGCATACGCTTTTTCCAATAATCCCGGCCAAAACTGATCGGTATGTGTAGATTGCAAAAACGCAAGCCGATTGTTCACGGTCGGAAGTCGATCGTCGACCAACACTTCCATCCATTCGCCACACCACCACAAACGAAACCGGAAAACGCCGCTGTATTCTTTTTCGCTGGAGAGCGACTGATCTGCCGGCACTACACGGTAGAACAGACCTTTACAAAGGTACAATACGCCCAGACATGACACCAGCCACTTATCACCTGTGCATAAAAATAAATCCTGTTTATGGTTATCTGGTTTTTAATTATAAACGGTACAAAGTGCATACTTAAGTATTCCTCATTAAAAACGCGTGCGTCTAAACTCTAAATGATACATAAAAAACCTTGAGTTGCATGTGTACACAGAAAAAACTCATTAAGTATTTGCATCCGAACCGTATAAACTGGCTCTCTCATACTATAAATTATATATTTATTCGTCTAGAAATAATGTATTTAATTAATTTTGTTGCACGGTACACAAAAATTATCTTCGGCGGGCCATTAAAAATTTGTGTCGTCACTGCAGTACAGAACAATATATACTGTGGGTTACATAAAATAGGAAATACACGAAATTCTAGTTCCGGTGTTTTTTAGATTAAAAATAAATTAATTGCTTATACAAAAGAGAAATTTAACGAGATTTTTTTTTTTTAGTCTTTTGTCGGATTTAACGTACTCTAGTATCAATGATAATGTAACGTAATCAAAAATTTTATAAAATCTAAGATATGTGTGCAGAGCAAGTATTTTAAAATAGTTCATTAAAATTATTTTATATGATAAAGACAAAAGGCATTGTTAATACAATAAACAATTTAATGCAGAAATCTACTTCTATATTTTAATTTATAATATGTATTGATACTGTACTCTTGTATCTAATATTGTTTGAATATTAGACTATGAATCAAAAAATATTACAAACGTGTGATGAAAAATTGATTCCTTAAAAGATTCAATCAATACCAATCTTCATAACACCTTTCAGCTAGGTGTAACTGAACACATTTAATCTTCTGACGAATACATCAGCTACAAGTGATCAACTCTGTACACTTAATAACTCTCAGAAATACTACAGCCATTGATGAATTATATCAAAACCTTATATTTATATATATATATATATATATATATATATACATATATTTTTGAACTGTATTGTTGTTACTAGGTACCAGATCCGTTCCACGCAAACCACCATAATATAAATAATTCACTATGAAGCACGGACAAATTTTCCAAACGAATACGTTTGTAGCGCCCGTCGCAAGACGTACAGCACAATAAAATATAACGTCTAAAATTGTTCAGCGTTTTACAAGACGGTAATAAATAGAATAATAATAATGATGCGATTTGAACGGTAATCTTAAACGTATTTATTGCGGTGCGAGAAATAGAAAGAGAATCATATTTTTTACATTGTGTTACGTTGTACGATCGTATCGATTCGACAAACGGCAAACGAGTGTAACACAATCATTACCGTCGATTACGGTTTTCCGACAGCATCGCGACGCCAATGTATCCACGACCCGAATGGTTTTATCACGCAGACCGTGCACGGACAATAGCGTGTTGTTTCGCGCCCGGTGCACGTGTGTATTGCTGCAGAGCAGCGAGTGCGATCGAGTGTCGCAGTTTATGGTCCACGGAGCTTGTCCCGGTCAGGAAATGATTTCGTGATTTCCGTTCAATTTTTTTTTTTTTTTCGTAGCACAGCAGATACGTGGTCTCGAAACCGGAAACTTCACCCGCGAAAACGGCTGAACTTGTCCAAAACGCGCGCCGCGCAGCCCCGACTGATCGGACGGCACCGTATACCGACCGTCAAGCGCACCCCGTCCGGCTTAAGGAGGGTTAGCGTCGCATTTCGTTCACGGGAAGGAAATCGGTCACCTCGTAACGGGAATCTCTGTCGTGGATAAATCAGTTGGTCTCCCCCCCCCCCCACCGAGTGATTCCGCCGCAGGACGATCGTGGTAGGTATATCATAGTGACCCATCCAGCCCAAAAGAACGGTGAACGATATATTATCGATATTGCGCACTGCACCACGACTTTGGCTCGCTAAGAGCATTTGATGGTTTACGCAGCCCTCGGATGAAAAATCTCAGAGACTTCTGGGTCACACGGTAATATATCGGTTTTACATTTATTGTTGTTCATTTCCAATCCCCTAAGCAGCACTCCACGAGGTTATTTGTATGCGAAACTTCTACCCCGCCAACGTTTCGTTACCGTTGATAATGGTGCATGATCGTCGTGTGGAAGTCGCAGTCACTCGTCCGAGCGCGTGAAATCACATTGTTCCCACCAGGGCTTATTCTAAGGATTTTTACCAAATGCCCAAATTTGGGTCGTACTGCCCATTAAAATGAAAACGTCGATCAACGGTCGTTGTTCGATTTCTGTCCCGTCCGGTCGTACCAACCAACCGGTACGGGCGCGCGTCGTTCTCCCTCGGATGGTCGGTCGAAAAACTGATGATAGTCGTGCGTTTATCGTATGCAATTACGGTATGCTGAAGGAATCGTACTCGAACGCGCGGTGAGCACCGTTTGTGTAACGTTATAACTATCTTTTTTTTCGGAGGCTTACCCACGTACGATGCCGGGTATGCTCGGGCAACCTCCCCTCCCCACGGGCGGGCTTAAAGGGGTGGCTAAGGGGGTATTAGCCCCCCCCCTTGAGACTAAGCTATATATTTTACAAAGCAAAGTATTATTATATATTAATAATTATAATAAAATATCGTCAATTGATGAATATGGTACCTATTTTAAAATTTTTTTATAAATAAATGCTCACTTTTGTTTTTAATTATATGTATTTACCTATATTTTAAAATGGTTTCAGATTAAAATTGATACCAATAATGTAACTATTTAAACTTTGTCATTATTGTGAAAAAAAAATGACTTACTTATGAGGGACTCAAAAACATATTCTGTAATTTAAAATTTTATATAGATTTAAAAAACCAACTAACTAAATTCTTAAACCTCCATTAGCTCCTCTCTTGGTTAGTGATTAATCCCGTCCCTGCCCCTCCCCCCAAATTGCTGCAAACGAGGACTCTAAGAGCAAGTGACCCGTATTTTAACTGATGTCGTTCGAATCGAATATTTAATTTACTCTAAAATATGTTTGGTAAAAAATAGATTACGTTTCGTAATAGAAACGGTAAAACTAAATCTATATTTTCGGGCAAAAAACTTGTTATGATAAAACAACGGTTACGGTTGACTATAAATATAAAAATCGCAAATAATTGAAGCTGCCTGAGAAAAATATACGAAACTCAAAGTAAACATATTCACTGGTGCTAATTAACACGATATATTGAACACACCATTATATATTGCGTATGTATCGTACATAATTAATTCTTGTTGATATGTTATATTGCTATGAAGTAACTCGTTATAATATTCAATAAAATAAATGAAGTTATATGGGATTGAAAAAAAATTGTATAGCAAAATTATAATTTATAACGAAACGGTTAAGATAAATTACTTATGTAGAATATATATATATAATTATCGTAAACATTCTTTGTGTACAAATCACATAAATATTTTATACAAAAAAGATATACTTTACAAGTGTCGGGACACCTAAAACGCGTTATTTATTTACATAATATATGAACAACTAATGTACTCGTACAGATTCGGATAAGCCTTTTACTTATGTACTTTTCAAAACTACGAATCAACGGACGTCTGAATTTCTACTATAAATGTACATACAATATAATGACTCTTACATGTAAATACAATGACGTACTTCATGTCTTCCATTCGATCTGCGGATGCAGAAACTATTTCGGTGGTGATATTTTTTTACATAACTTGGTCGTGTACAATCAACATAACGAATAACCTTGTGAGTATATATACAGCTTATTAAGTATTTTTTATGGTATTTTAACTGGGATTCAAGACTTTTTCCAAAGAAAAAATGTATTTATATCTATACAAAACATTGTTAACGATTTAAATATATCATATAACACTAATACTTTGTACAAATATATATATATGTTTATATTTGTGAATATGTTTCATTACTTTTTCAAGCATTATGATACAAAATAAAACGGAATTATCGCATCGCGCACAAGGCTGTGACCGTCACGACGTTTTTTTCAGTCCCATATGTTTATTATTTACCTATGTACATTGTACTATAAAAGAAAATTGATAAAATGGTTCATGGAAATGCTGTGTTTTTAAATAGAAAAATTATGTATATAAAATATTCGTACACAACTAATAAAAGAGTGAAATGCACTTGGGTTAGTATAAATATTCAGTTTTAAGGTGTTCCATAAAGTTTAGTAAAAATAAGTACTTAGAGTTGACAAGTTTCATCAACTGACAAGACTAATAAAAATATAATCATCAATTGATTTATTATTTTATTTATTGTGGGATATTATGGATTTAATTGAGAATACAAGATTTTTGTTTCAATTAGCATACATTTAGATTATTATTTTGTATTTATATGAAATTGTAAATATTATAAAAAAAATATTTATTCAATTAGCAATCCAGTTAATTTATCAGATATGTCCTTATCATTACAAATTGTCTTGCATAATGAAATATTGTTGATTATATATTTATAATTATTATAGTACTATTTTTTCTTTTTTTTTTTTTTTTAATAGTGTTAAAACAACTTGAACATAAATTATCTTATTAAATTAAAAATGCATTTATTATAAATAAAATAGTAATTTGTCATATTATTTTTTGCGTAAGTACAATCAACTGCTATAGAATTACAATTTAAACATAAACATACTAACTTATTTTTAATGATCATTATTGTAGATTTGTTCCCTATTATATATGTATAATAAAAATTAAACGAATTCTTAATTAGTTTTTTATAACTATTGCGTTAACAAGATAAACATGTAATAATAATATTATGTATACCTCTACATTTTATTTATTAATTATATCTTAATAACTTATATCATAATTTTATCTTTGAAAATGAGCATTGCAATTGGCTTATTTATTTGCAAAAACTTAAGCGTATCTCAAGTATATACTTAAAGTTTAATTAAACATAGTTGTGGTAATAACTCGTAACTTTTAAAACCTTTTGTATTTTTGATATTGATATGCGATTGAATTTGTGTCGCACACATTTACCATTTATATATTTATTGAAACCATTTATAATACATGAAGTAAAATTACTATTTGTTAATGTTTAAAATAATGTCTCTTTAAACGTTTAATTGTTAATGCTAAAATAAATACAGTTTTAAATGGAAAGTAATAAGATGTACAAATTAATTTGTCATATTAGTTTAAATATCAGGAAAAACAAATATATCGAATATTTTTACTCGTTCCGTCCAAAATTAGGCACGGATACTTTTTCTGCAAATTGATTTTATTTTGTTTTCATTCACACACATTCGCCGAAAAACAATGAAAATAAAAATGAAATACATGAGTTTTTAAAAATTATTAACTTAATATATAGTTGAATGAAATATATGACTTGAGTTTAGGAAAAAAATAATAATAATACTTAATTTTAATTAGAATCGATAGAAAAAATGTTTATCCTGTTTTCCAACCCAATTCTTAACAAAGCCAAAGTGATAATACAGTTTTATGACAAATCATTCGTTAAGAAATTACACTTACCCATTTTTCCGGGACTGATATCGAAATGAGATGTTGAATCGCTAACAAAAACTGGTCTATTACATATTTCCTAAAACAAAAAGTTACACAATTAAACTTAAAGGTATATTTATAAATTATTATTATTATAATCATTTTTAGCAAAATCTGAAAATGTTCAAGCTCTTTGATTCTATTTTTTTATTTTTTTTTTTTTTTTTGAATATTATACAATATTGATATTTTCAGTTCAACCCAAAAAAATTGACATTTAATAATAATATATCTTTGTTAACTATCTAATTTACTATGTAACAAAGATAAAGTAATATAACGTATTCTATGTTGAACAAGATAAATTATCTGATAACCGTCAATTACAAAAGAAGACAATATTTTATTTCACATTCCAAATACACGTTAATTTCAATTGATTACATTTGAATTAAATATCATCTGTATATTTTTTATAATTTGGAAACACAATCTTGATGGTAAATATGCAATTATATATTTATTGGTCAAAATTGGAAAAATCATATTAAAGTATGATTTTTGTGTAAATGTTGAGTCAGGCGACATTCCTTACCAAAACTATGTGCAAGCAAAATTCACATTAAAACTTTCTTAATAATAAAATTACGTTTCTACCTTAATATGAAAATATTAACCTACCTTAAATTCTCTATTTTTCAAAGCCATATGTTGTTATTTAAACTCAAACGTGATATTTATAACTGTATCACTTAATATTTTAAACTATATGTTTTTCACTCCAATTTTCATCTGATGTATATCTATTTGTTCCATCATATCAAAACCCGACCAGTTCTTCGCAAATCATTGGAATAGTTTCTAATAGCTCATAATGGACAATCGTAGCTATTCAGTAGCAATTTTGCATTGTTCGATCATCGAGCGCACAACGGTATAAAATGTATGTACGCACATATATACATTCATGTTGCGTACATGTATACACATATGAATAGAATTTGGAGGGAAAAAAACCAGTAAGAAATAATAATACGAAAAAATTTTTGCCGTTCAATAGACGATTTCGGCCGAGGGACATCATCTCCCGTTTAAAATATTCACAGCCGGTCAGTTTCACTATACGCGCTGCAACGAACACACAAACACATACAATATAACCTACTTCCAATGGTTAGTCAATTTTTCATCGCAAGCGTACGTCTAACAAAATAAATTATACACACACATACATACACCTACCGTACACACATGACATGCGAACATGTAATTTGGTAGGAATCTACCAAATATTTTTTTTCTTAAACTCAAATAGTAGTTCATTTTTTATATTTCAATTTTAAATGCTTATCAGAGGCGACCAAAACGAATAAAATTAAGTGAATGTTCCTAGATGTGTATTATACATAATACTCGGTCATCGTGATCCAACCAAAAAAATGGTCATATGTATATCATATATATATATCATGGAATATGTGTCTTGGTCGCTATAATATGTGTCTACGTCGCGTTTAAAGGCTTAACGATCCGTAACAATGAAAAAAATAAATAAATCATTATTTCCGAAAAAAAATATATACTTAAAGAAAAGAATATGGTAATTGGCCATTCGTATTTATTTGTTTCAGTTACATTTGTTAACTGTGTGATGATGATGCATATAATCAAGGAGCCGGAACTCGACGAAATAGTAATACAGAAATAATTTGTTTGTCTAAGCGTGAGATTATTTTTTTGTATAATATAACTTAAAAACATCGACACTTTATTGCAATAATATTGACCGGAGTTCATAATCATTTTTTTTTTTTTTTGTGTTCTGTCCAAATTCGTCTACCCACTTAAAATTAACTCTATCGGTCTATTGAACTATAATGTAGGTGTGTTATAAAAATAAAACTGATATAAATAACTACTATAAACTGCTACTATAAAATGAATATAAAAATTGAAGTTCTTTCGTCTAGCCAATCGAGTGAGAAATAACATCATTTACACAGTCCAAATTATATATCGAGAATAAATTTCATCTGCAGTCTGCATAACTGGTTATAGATTATTCAAGAGAAACAATCAAAATGTATGGATTAATCTGCTTATGTATGGTATGATACAATAAAAAAATATCACTGCAGTTATATTTTTTTCAAAAACAAATGCAATCCGTAATATTTAAAAAAAAGTTTCAAAGTCGTATAATATATGAAAACAAACTTGCAGTGAAGAATGACGTGCCGTGCAGTGGATTTAATAAAAAATATTATTCAAAGTGCCAAAATAGTGTTGGTATTTATTTGACAATAGAATTAAGTAGGATTTAAGAATGTTCTTATAGAATACTACCAAGTCGGGTCAATTTTACAAGACTTAAAAGGATTATATTGGTCACATGGATTATATTGGTCACATAGATTGGAATATTTTTCATTGTGCACGGGTGTAGTGTATAGTTAATAAATTAGCCGTATTTAATTCGTAGATAAATACGTGGCGAACGATGATGCAGTTCATGTCTAAGACGTGCCCACAAGTTTTAATTGCTACGCACATCGTGCATCCGTTGCCATCCGCTGATGCGCTTTATTATAATTATTAACAACGATAAGGCTTACACGTAGAACAGTACCCAACAATAATAAATATCGAATACTATTCGGTGAACAAAACAATAATACGATTATCAACTGCTCTCGTCGAACAATGCGGTTTCAGCCTATAATGGTGTTGAAGACCTCTCGCGATCGGAGATCGGCCATAGTAATACAGTAATCTTGCAGTTTCTTTGGGTGCAAACGTCAGACGTGGCATTATATCGACATTGGCGACATCATATACTATGAAACAGCACGTCCGACCAGTCGATGACATGAAATGCTATACACGAAATAGACTACGCTAACAGCATATTAATGTAATATTATGGGCGAGTGCTTTTAATACATTTTTTTTTTTTTATGCTTAGCCAAGACTTATTTCAGCACAATGTTATCACTGTGTGGACAATAATGAATGCGAAATCAATTTACATCCCACCGTCTCATCGGGACGGTAAAAAACACAGATCGAACGATTATACTTTTCCTTTAAGTATTATTGATTCCCAGATTCTAATTTAGGATTAACGAACGGTTAATATATTAATAATGCTAAATGTATATTATTATTATTTTTGTTTTTGTTGTTAGAACGTAGCACGCGATCGGTATTATGTTATTACAGCGTACACGCATATAATTATTTTAGAAAATAGAACATGCATACACCGTTTCAATCGTGTGAGTAACTTGCTCTTTCGTTAGCTTCTTTGTCTATTAATTATTCTGAATAATCAGGTATTGACGGGTACACCGGTAGACGTACCACGCAGCTACAGGAATCATTTGCACGATTTACACATGGCGAAACAATGTCCAGACGTCTATTCCAATACCTTATTAATCAGATTTGACGTAATTTTTTATTCATTTTTTTTTTTTTTTTTAAAGGTCGTTGCATCGCCGTTTTAAACACTCGGACCGAGTAGGTGTCTGATCTTCCTACTAACAATTTGATCGCCCACCACCATCACCTGTAGTCCGTACCACGTCGATCAAGAATAATAGACTTAACTCTTAATACCAATATAATATAAACAAGTTTGATTCGGCAGCCTCGGATAATAATCGGCTAAATAATATTGAACACTGACCTTTGGTCTTTTCCACACAAACTGGAATGGAGGCTTTTGATGATAAAACACTGAAGACTGGGTGGCCGGAAAATCGGGGTCCTCCCATAATTCCCCACGTTTTTGACACATCCTGTGGATTCTGTCGTAGTCAGCCATCGTACAAATATATCTGAAAAAATAATTAAAAGCACTATTTTATGTAACAATAATATAAAATATTTATGTAGTATTAAATTTAATCGCTATTTTTCAACACATACTAAATAACGAGTTTATTTTGAATTCATAAATAACGTATTTATTATATAGATCAGATTGAAAAATAAAAAAAAGAATTTTCAAGTAATTGACATTTTATCAAAAACAGTCGCATATTTTATTGATTTTTATTTATAATAAACTATCTTATAACAAAGCGTTTATTTTGAAAAATGTTGAATCGTGCTTGTAGTCTAATAGATTAATTGTACATTTTATAGTTTTATAATACTACTTCGACCGACCAAACATGTTTCATTGATGTACTATGTAATGGGATCTAAAACCACATTATTATGTAAATTAAGAATATTAACTTATACAAATCAAAAAATAAACATTTAATAAATTAACATAAGTGATAATAAAATATAATATTCGTATATATATTTAAAAAAAGAAAGGAATGTTTTTGAATTATTTTTATATTATATTATTGAAATTTTGGATTTTATTAACACACTGGTGACTGGAGTAGAAATTCATAATCATGTTGTAGTGTACCGAGTTCAGATAAATAAGTTATTGTGTTATGCTATTTTGTGTTCAGATATTACACATAACTGAAATTAAAACCAAAATTAAACTCCAATTTATTAATCCTTCCAACAATTGTATTGATCAAATATTAGTGCACAAAATCAGGTCACATCCTGCATTTCCGGATTTAAGGCCCATAGCTAATATCCACGTACGTTTAAGGAATGCGGTTCATTGGACTGTTTCAATATATTATTTGATCCTCGGCCAGCCTCCCCTGGAAGGCATCTCAAGTAAAAGTCAATTTTTGCAGGGAAAGTAGTTAATTGATCAGCTTTATTTTTTCTGTACAGACTGGTACGATGACGCATATATGGTCTGTCGTAGTCGTTGTTGTTGTTTTTTTTTTTTTTTTTTTAATTCGGTTTCTCAGCAAACTGGTACGTAGTTCTGGCTTGACATCATCGACCAGAGTCTCAGGTCAACGTATCGTCCTCCTCCCACGACCCGAGAGACCATAAAACATGGTCATCGTTTACGGTAATTTTTTTCTCGGGTACTGCATAATTTTTTAACAACTATTTGGCACCCAAACTTATACAAAAAATAGAAATGGTACACTGTAATTATACGCATATATTTTTTTTCTTCCGTGTATACATTATAACTTTTATAATAATAAATGTTATTTATAAATTACGTGATTTGTCATGTACAGATCATGTATACAACTTAATAATTATATATGATTATAATTTTCTAACCATTATCTTTTACGTGGCATTATTATTAATTCAATTAAGAAATAACCAAGTGTTAGACGTTTCACATTTTAAAAATGTAGAAGGGGCGTAAGAAAATGTTAATCTCGTCATTTTAAGTTCACAATTGATATAATCATTCAAAATGAATTTAGGTATCTATAAAAATTGTATATTTCTATGTTGAGATAAACACGAAATATCTCTGATATAAACAAATATAAACGGTTTTATACAGTAAAAATAAAATGTGAAGATCTTATAGTCACAGGGTAAATTTATTAACACGCAAACATTCGTGAGATTTGTTGCGAGCGAATGTTAATGTGTCCAGGTACACGTTGAAATGTACTTTTGTGAATTTTTTCAAAGAAATAATGATGTACACAAACGATAACGAGACAATTTAGATCGACGTCGTGTGATGGCGAACACTGCGAATGAAATATTTCGTACAGAATTTGGGACAAACGATGCATTAAGAATGTCCTCCTTATAAATCGTGTCTTGAAAAATCTGATAACTGTTGGGTATATACTTGTTTAGAATTGTACACGGCTACGATATCTATAAGTCAGAAACAAGAGGAAAAGAGTAATAGCTTTTCAATGTACATACAATAATTGCCACACGTGCGTGTTAATCGTTGTACACATATATTTCGAACGTGTTGCATTGCTTATTTTAGCCGTATACATTCGGCGAATATTAGAAACAAAGAGCTAGGAACTTCGATCTGGTATTAAGTCTAAATCAGTTTAGACTATCAATTTAGACAATTTATAGATATATCGATTGTGTACGTAACCGTAAGACAGACATAGTTCAATTGCAGTACAGTAAAATATAATAGTCGGTTTATACCACCGTATGTCACATGACATTTGCATTACGCGCGTTTATGAGAAATTTCGCGGTCCGTATGATAGCAAAAATAATAATAACGTAATACGAAAACTACAACAGAAATGCATAGGTTCAACGTCCCACGCTCACCGGCAGTACACACACCGTTGAGTATAGGTGTTGGTGTGATGTCACCTGCAGTTTGTTAGCAGTCGATTCGCGTTTGTGCGCGTCCGTGAAATATGGCGAATACAATGTACTAGCACTAGTGTTAGGGTCAAATACACGCGATGAATACCAGGACTCACGAATAATTTGGACTTCTCTGACCAGCCCGTATTCAACGGGAACATTATGCTGTTAACGAAGCTTAAAAACAATGGTATTTAAATCGTGTACACATAATGCCGATTACCAACGAGTTCGCAACGAAACCAAATCGTTAAAAAATTATTGAAGTTTGAACACAAATCAATGAAATTATAATAAGCTTGTAAAATATTACTAAAAATATTCACGGTAAGAAACGCGTCATCTTGTACAAGAAAACACCGTTTTTCAGGTTGACTAAATTCATATCTCAGAAACTATTAGTCATCTTTTATTTTGACATGGATAACATTATTAATCTTTTGACAAAGTGTTTTTATATTTTTCATAAAATCCATGGTAAATTATAATATTTTTATCGTTATTTATTTACTAACATTTATCTGAATATCATTTAATAATCAAACGAGAGTCTAAATTTGAATATTAAATTCTTAATGAGTGTATTGTTTCAGAATATAATGATGATATTCAATTAATATTCATTAATTTATGACCAATTATGCTCTTCACAGTTTGTAACTATTTAAATTTAAATCGATGGAATAGAAAAGAAATTTAAAGGATAATTTAAAAATAAATAGGAATATAAGCTCCTCCCTATTCTCCCAGTCTAAACGTTAAAACAAATTTAACTAATTAACTGTTTGTTTGGTATACAAAAAGAATTAGAAAAAATAGAATTTAAAAATAAAATTATGGGTGACTACTTGAAAACCGAAAATACATTCAGAGACAGTTTATTAAAATGATTGTAAAATAATAGGATACTACATGATTAACATTTTTAAATATGTACATTTAAAAAAATCATCTTGTATACATATGTCTATTAGTTAAATTAAATTTTTGATGTATAAATTATCGAAGACATTCATGATGTCTATGTTTTTATGATTAATAAAACACTAAAATAAGTATATTCATATTCAATAAAATCATACAATTCTTAGATACGCTTTTCACTTCTATATTTAATAAATTGTACGGGTAAGTATAATTCAAATTTCGCCTTAAATTATGTCTTATAATTTTCTAGAACATTTTTAGAATAATAGATTTAGAAAAAGTCACTTTTGTGTAATAATAATTTTCAATCTTGAATTTAATTTTTAAATTATCTATAATACATGAGTAATACTTCAATTTTTAGTAATCTAAAAAGGAAATGTAATATTAAGTACACCCAAACTTTTAAGAAAATTAATGATAAAATAATGCATGTGTTACTTTTTACAATATATCAATATAAGTAATGCTTTAATAGATATAATCAAATTTTGCATTAAAAATTAATTCACAAATGTATTACAATCATCAATAATTATATTAATTTCTGAATCCGAATAGACTTAATCTGAGATAAATATTTTCAATTATGATTTATGAGTCATGGTTACAGTATAATCGAATTTAATCAGGACCGTATTATGGTCATAATATATGGGGGGATATTATTTTTAATGAGGCCCTTTCATCCAAAAAATTTCATTTTTCTATTCAGATTTAGTAATTTTTAATAAATAAGAATAAAAATTAGCATATTGTAGTATAGTCGCAATTAATTAATTAAACATTACTCTATATTTGTAAGTCAACTTTTATAAAACACATTGTGGCCCCATTAAACTTGCTATTCCTCTCTAGTCACCCCTTGATTGAGCTCTATATTTATTGCATAATACATAAAAAATAAATAAATAATATATTTATAGATAAGAGAGTGTATATTCAGAATGTTAAACAATTTAAAAATAATAATATTATATTTACTTAGTATTTTTTCTAGATAGCTTAACAACTAATGTCAATATAAAAATAATAATTAAAAAGTTTTCGTTTTTAATTTATTTTAACTATTGAAAATTATAACTTAATATTAAATATTAAATTATATTTTTCAATATAAATTTTATATTTTATATATTATGTATATTATATTTTTACAATATATAAAGTAGAATAATATTTGAAATGTTTATCAGACAGAATTAAATATCATGTTAAAAAGCTTTTAAATAATAATGATGATAAAAAAAAAAATATAAATTTTTTAACAAATAATTAAATATTGTAATTTTATATATAATTATTAAAAATATATTCATTTATTGGGACACTTTGCTTTCGTGTTTTAGGGAAATTAGGTTAGCGGAACAATAATTTAACTCAAAAAAAAAAAAAAAAATCAAATAAAAAACGAAACAAAAAAAAAAGAAATCCATCATCTACAATAGATATGGGAAGTTAAAAAACCACGATAATACTGATGAAAGTGATACTACACGGATGGATGACACTGTACGCGTAGTCTGCTCCAAATGTTAAAATCGTTTAAAATAAACAAAATTGACATACAACTCCTATAGTACCGATTTATAAATTACAAAATCTGGTGCATCCCAAAATCTCTCTACAAAATCTGGTGCATCCCATTTTTTTTTTTTTTGTACATAAATATATATATTTAATAATCACTAAACATTACAAAGACATAAACTTGAACCTGATGCATATTCCAGATGCTTGCATAATGTTATGTTAGTATACCAACAACATTTTACAACATAACAAAATATATGCGTCAGGAATGTGTACTATTCAATGGAAACTATTTCACCTTTGTCTAAATTAGAAATTTAAAAGGTATGTATTAAATAATAACACTTCACAATACTATAATTATGTGTATCAAGTTATCAATAAACAAATTTTTAAACTCACGCTATACAATTTTAGATTTATAGTCGTGTACACCAACTCGAAATTATTCTATGGTCGTTCACTGAATATTAAAAACAACTTGTCGCAATGTAATAATAAAATTAAACTATTAAACACAATATTATATATAAAAAAAAAAAAAAACCCGTGACAGATAGCCGACGCACAACCGCACTGCAGGATGAACACCTGTTGACTGACTCCGCGCGGAAGACTGCGCGCGCTTGTCCAGGATAAACCTATGCGACCGCAGCCGCACTTAAAAAACATCGACGATCATTAGATAATAGAAATAGAAGTGTGGGGCCTAGTTTGAAAAGTAGCTGCAATTTAATATACACGTGTACAGATCTTTTTATTTCTTCTCAATCCCAAGGCGTTGCTATGAAAACATTTAAAAATTATTTTACCAAGAAAAAAAAAAGATGAAAAATGTGTAATATCTCATGATAAAAATAACAATGTTTACTTTCTGATTGAAATCATTTATTTTTAGCATTTTATTTGAATAGGATAATTTTCTTAAAAAAAAAATTAGATTTATTTTTTAGCCTATATTTAACTGAAATCAGATTCTGGATCATAACGTTGACGATGGTGTTTAACTATTTGTCAAGCAGTAATATACACAAAGAATTTCTAATGAATTTCACAAATATGTTTAAAATAATTTGCTATCCAAAAAAAAAAAAAAAATTTTACAAATAATGAACAGTACATGTAAGTGAAAAATAATGATGATTTATTCTTACAACTAAAAAAATTATACTTAAAGAACTTGACAAAATTCTGCCAAATGTTCAAATATTGATATTACCGATATTAATTAAATTCTAAAAAAAACATTTATGCAGTATATCATTGTTTGTTACCGAATATGACGAAAAATATTGAAGAGATACATTCAGAAATCAATAATATGGACATAAAAATTATTCCTAGAAAATTTTTTTAAAATTAATGACAATGGTAAAAATCTGTTTCCTTCTTATGAAAATCCAAAATGTTTAGGTAACTCTGAAATATTTATTGCATTGGAAACATGGAACATTTACTTACAGATCCAAATATTTTACTCAAATGTTTACAATACAGATTTTTAATAATGGACATTATATACCAGTTGTGTTCTATCTTCTAGTCAATAAATCTACTGATACATAAATTATTATTATTATTAAACTATTATCATTATTAGTTACATAATATTCAAACGTATTATCAATTAATATTGAATTAAATGTACACTAAATCCAAAAACAATTGTAATCGACTTCCAGCAAGCTATTCATAAATTTGTTTCTATAATGTAGCCAAATACATTTACAGTGTGTTGGAGATTTTCCCTTACATAAGAGTGGTTTTAAAAAATTCAGAGTCTTGGTTTGATTCAAAATTACAAAGATACAAATTCTGAAATTGGTTTTTGGATTAGAAATACATCTGAGCTTAAAATTTTGACTTCACAAGAAGTTTTTTATAATTTTTTGAAGATTTTATACCCATTATGTCTAAAAGTAATACAGTCTTAAGTATAATGACTATTTATTAGGTACATACATTTCACAAAACGCTATATTTTCAAAACTTATATGGGCAGAATTATCTTTATCGTTTTTGGGTCGTTTCATTCACATTTAAAAAATATTCATTATGTTCTATAAATTTACATTACAAAATATCATATGAAAATAAATCCATGGTGGAATAAATATTTAAGTACCTACTAAACAACCCCATTAAAAATATTAAGTTCATTGTAATAATAATACAATTAATTAGCATGCGTATAATTGTTTCATTTTAAATTTTTAAGTATATGAAAAAATATATGCCATACACAACTATGCATCAAATGTAAATTTAAAGAAAATACCATTTGAAACTATTATATTTTCGTTGACAAAACCATTTACACAATTAAAAATAAATCGAAAATTTAATACAAAACCTAACATTTTTAAAATAAAATCATCTACGTCTAAATATAAATAGCGTGTATATTAAAATTTTTATTAAGAATCTAAAAATCTTTAAGCAGTATTGCATTAATCAATTATAATAGATTTAAATATAACATTTTTTGTATATATACCCTAAAAAGTCATAACGTCAATAAAAAAATCGTTCCATTATCGACTGACTAACACTAACTTTTCAAATTATGTATCACATATTTCATAGGTACTCATTAAATAATTTAATGTGTAGTAATAGTTGATGGTCAAAAAATAAATGATTTTGATTAAGAAAGCTACACACTAATATTAAAATGATAAAATAATTTCTTTCATTCTTTCTTCGATTTATTTTCGATTAGAAATTATTGATTTTACATACTTATTTATATTATTTGTAAAATGTATTTAACTTATATTGTTATCTAGTGGTTTTCTTGTAGTTTTAAAATATAATTTATTATATTTCAATTTAATTCAATACATAATACACATGTCATGATTGCGGGCAGTCTAAAAATAAAAAAACAATTATTTATCAAAACGTACAGACATGTGGTTGATCTTCGATAACGATGAAAGAGACGAGTCGTTTGATTGTACAAAATACAAATATACATCATAATTCATAATTAAGTCGCTTATTAAACTGGTTTTACTGACATGGACTGTGGTATACGAACAAAATCAGTGTATTAATAATTTTAAGGGATATAATATTAATCGAGTTTTATTTTGTTTATAGTTTAAAAAGCGATTATCCTTGGCATGATGAGTAGGGCGAACTACAAAGGTGGACATAGTTATGTTTAAGACAAAATATTTTCAAGCTTTTGATCGCTAGGCTAGACAGTTATACAATTCCAACGTATATATAATACATACCACCAATGCTTGTTTGAATTATTTGATTAGGTTCATATGATTAGTATAGTTATAACTATAGGTGACAAGAAAGTTTTGAATAATAAGATAACCCCCAAAAGCAATGTATAAATAAGTAATATATTTTAAAACTTGAAATTATAATATAAAATAATGTTGATGTATCATAGTATTCATATGGTTTTTGGTATCTCAATTATGAGTACGTTTAACTTGAACGCATACCTACCTTAAAAATACAATTTTGTGTACTGTTTTTTGAACTACTGTTAACTTAGACTGCACGTGTTTTGTTGTAATTGGGCTTCATCATATTGGTAGTAAATAAATAAATATAATTAAATAATAATGATTTTAGAAATTTTAAAACTGGTGTCGATTAATTTTCGAAGAAAACATCGTCGTCGTAAACATGAAAAAAAAAAACGATTTATCGTTTTTCTATTAAATATATATTCGACCCATTCCTCACATTCCTACATCACATATACCAACACCTTTCAGTTATAAATTTTAGTCATTAACCATGGTTTAATAATCGGTCAAATCACTTCTATGTCTCGTACCAATTATATCACTACAGCAATCGGTGAGTTGATCATTCATCAGTAATATATTCAGTATCAAACATTTATTCAATGGAGGTATCATAATAAATAGATATTCTCATGGAAATAAAAGCGTCAAAAATATATGTTTACAATTCGTACACACATTTTGGATAGGACTCGAAACCCCAACAACCGCCCTACACTTCGTGTACATCGCTAGTCACCGACGACTCCTCCCGACTGGTGCAAATCGCAATCGAAACGACTAGTGGAAAAATCACTTGCTTTGCCTAATGTATATTATGTGACATTTCAAGTTCTTGCGACAAGACGACTCGGTCGAGCCAGTTATACAACTAACTGTTCTCACCAAATATCACCAAGCGTGGAGTTACGACGATTTCATAACACGTCCAGTACTTACGGTGACCCTGTATTGTCCGTGACCACTGACCACTTAACAATTTGTTCCGTTCAAAGGCGATCATCCGGTAAAGACGATTTCCCGTTAGCTGCCGACTGCGGATGCAATCTAGTGACCCGGGTTCCCTCGGACACGGTTGACAAGTGATAATCATCGTGAGAGAACGCATTGAGCGAACGCCAAACCCTGAACAGCACCACGTCCTGTTTCGCGTAAGTATACCACAAAACACCCGTAACGCACCGCAGTGGCGTACAATACAATTCATAAAAAACACTTACTACTCTCGACATGTTCGTGATCATTGACGGCGGACGATATCAACACCGGCAACCACGATTTCGTTCGTTCGCCTACCGGGAAACTATATCAAAAGCAACATAACAAATTATTCTAGTTACAGCGGAAGTCAGTGTTTATAAAATAACTTTTTTTGCAATCATCGAATGCTATTGAAACGTTATAGCATTGATTATATAAATACTATTTATAATCAATGGTCTTATGTATTTATGGTTATAGAGCGTACCTAGCTCATAACATGATAATAATGGTGGAAAAATCTATTAAGCTCTACGTAACATTTACACGTTTAAGCATCTGCAGTAAAACAATAACTAAAATAACAGTAAACGGTTTATTTTATATTAAACATTTAAATAAAATAATAGACGAATGTCGAATCAGATTTTTAGAAATTGCTTTATGACTGCGCAATTTTTTATCTAAATTTAATTAATTTTACAATTTTGATGATATGAATATTAAATAAATTGATAAAAAGGTTACTTATCAATTCATAATAAAACAGTTTCGATTAAAGTGAAACATTTCAATAGTTCTTTATCCAGACGTAGCTTAATTACAATAAATATCATTAAAATTCTCGCTAGGTATCCACGCTTGAACCAATCAACTACGGATTTGGCTAAGTGATGCACTAACTAAATGAAAACAAATAACTGTGTACCTACTACCTATGTAGCAATTGCCAATTATAATGGTTTAAAATTTAGTATTTTAACATGAGGAGAAAATATTGTGAAGAAAATTGTAATACAGAGCGTCCACTAGATCGCATGATACGTACCGCCCGTCGTACAGTAATGGATAAATTAATAATCTCCACTATGATTACATAACTTAACCCATGTGAGACCTATTTTTATAATTGATGGCATTGACAACTATTGACCGATAATTACTGTGAATTGTTATAATAATTTGAGATTATGATTATAATATTTATGATAATTATTATTGTTCATATTATAGGTTATAGATTATGACTAAATAAATAAATCGATGTGCTAATAATTTAAGATTTTTCAGACAAAACATAATTAAAACGTAGAAGTATAAAACTGATTATTGGTAAAGTTATGAATAAAACATTAAAATTGAGGTTTAATGTACAATATTGATTAAATATATATGGTAAATATATATGGATATAGTAATTTACTGTTAATCTTCATTAATAATTAATAGGGACCGGATTTATATGCACAAAAAATCCTCAAAATATGCTTCTAAAAAAGCTGTAATATGTTATAAAATATGTATTTATTTTTAAATATGTACTTAAATATTCACTTAAAATGTTGTTTAAAATTATGTACAAACGGGTGAAATGTATTATAAATGTAAAAATAAGTATTAATTAATACGGTATTAAAAAAAGTATAAAGAAGTTTTGTTAAATATTTTTTTCGTCAAGTCGATATATTTATAATAATAATAATAATATGGACTATAAAACTTCAAATATACATTGAATATGCATTTAATAGGTAAAAAAGTTGAAATATGCAAAATATGCAAAATAAAATTAGTGTTATTTTAATAAGAAAGATCTAAATCGCGGACAGTGCTCGTCAGGTTTCAAAAAGCTTATTCTAATACATATATGTATTTGCATATAAATCCGGTCCCTAATAATTAATTATTAAAAAAATAACACTGTAATGAAGTAACATAAAATTTCGATTGTTTTTATCGGCAAATTATACTACATAAATGTATGTTGTGTAGTATTCCAATAAATAAATGAAGTAAAAAAATTACATCCATATTATTATAGAAAAATTAAATTTCGTAATTACTAATTACAACACTATACATTATAATTTAATGTTAAAAATGATTTTTTAATTATAATCTTCTCATTTTTGATCTTTAACCCAAACGCTTAGTTAGTTATCTGAAAAATAATTACCTACCTAATAAATTGTTGTCTCAGTAATATCTAAATATAGACATAAAAGATTTTAAGTAAGCGATATAATATAATATTATGAATGATGATAAGTAAGGCACAAATTTACATGCACTTAAAGCCATACAAATATGCTCTAAAAAATAACAAAAATGTCCTTAAAAAATGCATTGTATCACGAAAATGACCTTAAAAACGAAAAAATGATTTTAAAATGACATACATTTTTTTATTATATGCATTATTTAACACACTATTTAATACATTAAAATCACAAACACGTAATACGAACAACGTCTTCGATGTAATAAGAACTGACTGATTATTTGTGATTTGACCGAATACTGGTGACGCTCCATAGTCTATAATATATTAATATAAGATAAAAACTAAATCGAAAAATAAAGATTGACAATGTGTATGGAAAACCCGATAAACCTACTTAAATATCAAGAAAATAATTTTTCTCTTGATTTTATTTTGAATAGACTAAATTTGTTTAGTATGTCGAATAAACATGCATTAAAAACCAACAAAATTACCAAATAATACTAAAAATGCTCTAAAAATAAAAAAATATCGAAATATGCAAAAAATGCAAAATAAAGTGTGTAGTTTTGTAACCCTCGTTACATGAAACGAATTTTGTTCTTAGAGAGCATTGTGTACAATCAACCAAAAAAAATATGCACTTTGAATTGAAATCCGAACCCTAATGATAAGTATTATTTATTTTTAGAATATATTGGCAGTGCTAAACACCCTTTTAGGAAATTTTAGCCTATGATAAGCGAGCACAGCGAGCTGCAAATTTTTTGATCATACAAAAAAAAAATGTGGGCCGCTCAAATCTTCTCCACTCAGTCCAAAGTACTCTCAGTCAGCCTCTGATTCCAACGAAGAAATGTATATTTTTCTAGAGTGATTAGGGTTGAATAAAAAATATTCTAAAATGAGATTTTTTTATGCCTTTTTTATTATTTTTAATTTAATAATTATAATTAAGAGCTGCTGTCAATTTATATATATATATATATATCGTTTATATCAACGCTTAATGTAATTTTTTTTTTTTTAATTAACTTAACTTATTAATTGAAGTTAAGTTAACAAAATTTTTTAACTTAATTTTTAACTTAATTGAAAGTGAACTAAATTAACTTAACTAAGTCAAAAAATATCATTAACTTGCTCAGGATTACTCATACCTACGACGAATTGTAAGCCTTTATTGAACCTCACTCATCCCATACCTTTATAGAACATAAAAATATTAAATTATACCATATTATCAGGATCTACTAGAAGTCTAAGAGTTTCAATATTTAAGAATAATTATTCTAAAAATTGTGTCTCTCTTTTCGTATTTTTGGTTTATTTGTTAATTTTTCAGTTATTATGTTCAAAAATACAGTTATTATAGAATTTTAAATACAGAGTTAATAAATATTTACATATAACAACAATCAATTTTTTAATACTTCTATAGTATACTTTGAAGAAATGTATGTTATTATAAAATATAAACCGACAGAAGTTGTTGTAATATTTTTTAATCGAATTATTATTATATATTTTTTTCATCTCAATGCATCTCCTGTGGCTAATTTAAATTATTATTATTATTTTTTTTTCTTTTTACTTATTTATTGAATAAGAATTAAAAAATGTATTTCTATGAAATAGGCTTTAAATTTATTTGCAATCAATTGTTGTTCGTAAACATAATTAATCACTCAGACCGAAGCACTTATCGTATTATCGTCTGTTAAAATCTTATAATTACATTGGAGACCTCGTTAAATCAGAAACGAAGCATATCCATGACTACTCTAGCTTCTTTTTTAATTGATATAATTATTTTACCAGGTATACATTTTTGAATCATTGTAACATTTTAATACATAATTTCAACGATCAATAAACAATTATATTAGTATTCAATGATACTTAGAACATTTAGTTTTTCTCTACTTACTATCGTTCTATGTTGATTAGTAATAAATAATACAGATTTATATAAAATAGGAAGAAAATAGAAATTTGTATTAAGCCAATAAATTATGTTATAAATTGTAGTGACTTCATGGTTTATATACTATTTAAATACAATATTAATAATCTACACTTTAGACGGTTATAGATAGTAAAAAATTTATATTTATTATATAAACTATACTTATTATTATATGTATATTAAAATATTTTCGGTAAAATACGATTTAGAACGTTATTTTTGGCAACACGATTCAGAACGCTGGAGTACTTTCTTCCGACGTTGCCAAATGTAAACAATCGATAATATGAGCACAATAATCTAATGATATTTATCGGACTTTTATCGGATTAGCTTTGAATAGTAACTAAGATACCAGATACGAGAGAATGACAGGCTTTGAAGTCGTCGCACAAACTATTCGTCTATTTGTATTAGATATTTTTATAAGTTCTACATATTTTACAATTTTTTTTATACATATATACACTATACAGGTATTAGATATTTTTCTAAGTCCTACATATTTTTAATTTTTTATTCATATTATATATTACATATTATTAGGCGCTTATTTGTATACGATTATAATTATTAATTTATGACTTTTTTTCAAGAATATTTATTTTATGTATACTGAATTTTTCAAAAGCCAAATACATGATATGGCAACGTTGCACATAAATTCGTTCACAATCGTATAGTTTTTTGAGTTTTTCAGTGGTAAGTTCTTTGTTGATTTTATTGATTTTAAGTTTTCTCAATCGTTCGGCAAAAAAGGTATAACGTTCTCAATCCTTCGGTAGCCAATATTTTTAATGATAATCATAAAATAACATGATATTATACCTTTTTAAATATTTGTTATTACAATATATTAAAAAACTGTTAATTTATGTAAATTATATTATTCTGAATATTCATCATTACTATCATTCGTATAATTTTAGGAATTAAAGCCATATTTTTTAATTTTTTTATTTTATAAATAAAATTTGTTCACTATAAAATAATTGACTCACCAAAATTCAACGGCTTACTACAACGAGTTGCGCAAAAATACGCAGCTAAATATTACACCTTTTTGTTCAATAGATAATGGTTAGTAGATGATACCAATATATCTGTGAAGCTCGGTAAAAAACATTATTAATTGTATAGACTTTAAAAACGTATGAATTTATCTTTATAATATTTAGAAACGTATACATTTCCACTACTATTTCGAGTCGATTATAATCCTTGTACGATAATTGGGTCATTAAATAATATGAGTAATTCATATACTATATATATCAAACGAAAACATTTTAGTTGACTTTTATTTTATTTGGTGGGGACAATTTAATTAGGTAAGAAATAATTACGAACTAAAAATCGCAGTATTTGTTAAAATAATACATTTATCTATTTAAATTATATTTTTTTCCATGAATATAAATACATTATACCTTAAGTTCTGTAGAAAATTAGAAAAAAAATCATTTTGGTCAACTATTTTAATTTTCTAATCAATGTGCGTCGTACTCTTAAATATGTTATTATTTTCGTAAACTAAACAAATTAAATTTTCTTTGCGGAGAAATAGAATTATACAACTTATAAATTTCTATATATTAGACTGGTAAAAATCTGAGTAACAAATACAATACCACAATTATAAAACATGTTCTAAAGGTGTGTGTTCTATTAGTTATTAATAGTAAATAAACTTATCATCTGGAAGTAATTTTTTGCTACTTTTTTTTTTTTATTGATCGAAAATAAAGAATATACATAAATTAAAATAAAGATGACATTTTCGATTATCTATCTCCTTTAAGCAAAGCTTGTGTTGGAGATAGAGAGTTATTAATTTATAGAGGTACTTATAAACTAAGATTGATAAAAAAATATAATTTCTTAAAATATAAGGTATAATGTACCTTATAAGTTTCTTATAATATAAAAATAATATATATATATATATATATATACCTCAAATATATAGTTGATCAATGTTTGTTTTTGCATAAACAGTAGTCAGACAAAAACAAACAGTTCCCTTTTAAATACATTTTTTCTAAAAAAAAAGACTGGCCACTTTTGAAGGTGGTTAAAGAGTTTAATGGCCTTAACCACTATATAATTATATAAAATAGTATATAATAATACAATAAATATTATAAAAAAATTTTTAAACTTAAGGTCACTGTTTTAAGTTGCTTCTTAAATGATTTTATATCCTAAATTTACAGAATAACAGCAACTATAATTGGCATATTCATTTTCAACAATATTAACTTTGATTTTTTAGAAGGACTTTTTATTTACGAATATATTCTGTACCTCAACCATTTTATCATCTGTGGTGTACAAGGACACGGATATCACCAATTCGATACAAATGTATAAATATTATTAGCACTCCATAATTCAACTTTTGCCACTGATATGATAACATAAAAAATAATAGCCAACGTAAATCATAATTATGTACTATCGCGAGATTATTCTTGTTTAATAAATGGATATTCCTGCATTTTTAGTACGGGACACCATGAAAAATGATTTCAAACATTTTATTAAAGTATACATAAAACGGTCATTACACTCTTCGAAGATACATGTTTTTATATTACATAACGAAACCTGTTTGTGTCAATGAACACTTTATACATTTAATAATATAACGTTCATTTAAAGATCGGTTTTTCCTAACTCGAAGTAATGCCGTATGCTTTTTTTTCTTTAGAAAATACTTTATGTATTTCGGTTATAACAATTCTGGAATAGAAAAGACAATTGCGAATAGTTCACACAAACAACGATCAACTAGTTCCATCTATGAAAATATTTTCTACTAAACCCGTACACAAAATATTAATAAAATTACCAAGTAGGCATACCTATATTCTTAAGAGGATGCGATGCTCAAAAATGTACCGCAGGGTAACGTTCCATAAACCTACAACGCTATATTACGGCCGCATACATGCGAGTGATTTGTATTATGGGAAGCGCAGTTAACTAATTTACTGGGCGACATCATTTTTACCTAGAAGATAATATCTTTAATCACTGGGCGATAACGATGGTTTGGCAAAAATGAAGATATTATTAGTTATTTTATAATTTTATGTTGTAGTCATTTATTATGCTTGGTTTTGTTATTTGTTTATCATATCGTCTGACGATTTGAAGTTGAAACATTAATTATACTGATTATCAGAATATCTACAAATGGAAAACGATAAAAACCATACTACATGTATTATATTGTATTACATATACCATTACGAGTTTGGATAGTGTTATTAGAGTTTGTAAGGTATAATAAACTTTCTAACACTGACATTATTTTTCTTATAGGTTTTTAATAGTTTGTTGATGTTGATTTTATCGATTTTGATTATATGCATGGAAATTTTTTTTGTCGCCCCCAGAAAATTTTTTTTAAATATTCACAATCGTGAATATTTTAATTTTATCACAGCGTGATTGTGATCATATTTGCAGACCAACTATAAATGGAGTGATCATTTCTTTACAACTTTTGGACAGAATAAATGTAATGTGTGAGACAAAACTGTTCAGAGTAAATTCGTAGTAGAGGATCCCTTTTATTAGAAGGTAACATTATCTATGATTTAGCGTTTTCATATTTTGGGTAGCTTATCTCCAAAATAAATTTTCATAACTAAAAAAAGAACTTAAAATTTTGAAAATGTAAATCTGTGAATTTAGTTATACTACTCGAAAATAAAAATACAAAAACTGGACCCACATTATAAATTTATACTGAATAAATTTGTACTGTATAAAACATATTTTATGGTTAAATTATGAGTTTTCCTCTCAACAAAAAGAAAAAAAAACACTTTAAAAATGTTATTATCACTCTTAGATATATAGTTATTGAGTTTGTATGAATTAAAATTTGATGAAAATTTTTTTAAACCAGTCTGAAGCTTAAGATATCCATGCAATTATTTTTTTATCTCTGGTAAGAAATACGAAATCTATCATTTTACCATTTTATTGAACCTTGAAATTCTGTCAAAAAAACCTTAGTAAGAATTTACTCAAAAAATTGTAAAGAATATAATATAAGAAAGAGTTTATAATATTTCTACCATTAGTAATATGTGAATGTTAAAAAAATATTTGGCATAAATTAAGGGAATGTAAACATTAAGACATCTTAATGATTTCACTTACATTAAAAAAATATCAGGTAACACATTATTTATTTTATTGGTTTTTGATCTAATGCGGAACTTCAGAATTCTTGGAGAAATATCAATAATTTGTACTGTACAATTTGGCGCAACATCAATTGGTAATTGGCTTGTTTTACATTATCAAACAAAATAAACTGTATACAAACTAATATATTTTATAAACAATAAAAATGTTTTGGTGGTATCTTCATCGGGACCCAGTGTGTTGTAAAGGTATGGTGCTCAGGTATGACCAATTTTTGTCGAGCCTTTTGTGTGTCTCTGCATTCTGTTATAATGTGTTTGACAGAAATTGAATTCTTAGCCTCGTAATACTACGAAAGCATTATAGTTTTCTGCTATAATATTATTTTAGTCAGCTTTTTCTTTATGTTTTTAAATAAATAACTTTATAGTAGTAGTATATACTACACTTTTGATGTATACGTTAATCTGTCTTTATTTTATTGATCACTATAAATACAAATCAAATACATAATTGTACAATAATTTATAATATGGTATTTATTATTTCCTATATTGTCATTTCCCGTTGTTCATTTATTATTTTATTGTAGTAACATTATATGTTACCTTGAATGGTTTACATAATCAAATAGTTTTGTTGTTAATATATCTAATACAACCTTCTCTTGAACTCAGATACACCATACTATACCTTACATGTGATTAATTAACCTTGTTATTTGTAAATATCAAATTATATTGGGGCTTATCATTGTTATTTCAATATTATTTTACATTATTTTAGTTTGTTACTTTAATCTATATTCTACTTGCCATATATTCTATGACAACCAATCATTTAAATTTAATCTAACCACAATTCAAAGTATCTATAAAATTATAGCTTCGTTAATAATATGTTATGAAGACAAAAAAATTTTAAAATCCTAAATTTAAAAAATCCTATGACTCAATGAATGAAATATCAAAAATATCAAATTATGAAGGTAATTAATGGTTGGTTTGACCACAAACCGATTAAAATATTAATCAATGTACTCGATTAATCAAAATGAGTAAACGCTAAGACACGTTATTTTGATGATTTTTTTTTAGTACGTTTCACGACATCGATGGTTTTAACATTGTTTTCTGTTTCATATAAGAATCTGGTTCGATTCGCAGATGATATTGCTATGATGGCAGACAGTGAACAAAATCTAGAAAGAATGCTTCAAAAAATGAATATCACACTTAAACAAAAATACAATATAAATATTAATAAGACGAAGACAAAGATAATAGTTGGCAGCAGACAACAAGAAGACACCAACATAACCATGGATGGTAAGTTGGAAAACGTAAATAATTATACATACCTCGGAAGCAGAGTCAAAAGCGACGGGAAAAGTACCACAGAAATAAGATGTAGAATAGCAAAGGCTTAACAAGCTTTTTTCAAAAAGAAGAAACTCCTAACTAAAAATTCAATAAATGTAAAAATTAGAAAAACATTAATAAAAACACTTGTATGGAGTGTGGCGTTATATGGAGTTAAATCGTGAATAATATTAAAAGCGGATCGAAGAAAAATAGAGGCTTTCGAAACATGGTGCTGGCGAAGGGTCTTAAAAATCCCCTAGATAGAACAAGTGACTAATGAAGAAATGTATAAGAAAATAAATGAAAATAGATCAGTATGAACCAAAATCGTAAAGAGAAGAAAGAAGTGGATAAGTCTTTTCATAAGGAACAATACATGGATAACAATAATTGAGGGAAAACCCGAAGGGAAGCCAGGAAGAAGAAGATTTAGGCAGTCATATGTTATATAAAATAAATTATGCTGGATATAAGAAGATAATCATATAGAACTAAAGATAGTCGCAATGAATAGAGAAGAATAGAGAAATATTTCATCATTCAACCAATTTACAAATTGAAAAAAAAATAAGAATTTGAATATAATGTTAATCTATAAGTTTAAATTGTAATGATAAAAGTTAGAGTC